AAAAAGAGATTAGATTAGATTAGATAACACATACTAAGAAAATGGCAGCCACTGACTCATGGTAAATCAAAGAGGATTTGGGTAACTTTTGGACTGGTAAGTAAAATAAATAAAAGTGACAGATCTCAAAGAACCACAAAATGAAAACCAAAACACAATCTGAATGGGATATAATACTGACCTCTTATTAGGTGTTATAATATATTTCTCTGCGCTAGCACTGACATGCAGAAAACCACAATACTAGCAAATGAAGAATGCATTTGTTTTGTGCAAGTACAACTTTTGTGCCTCTGTGGGTTTCATTTAAATCTACTAATGACAGCAGTACACTGAAAGATCCAGTTCACTGAAAAGACCCTCATAATTGAAAAAGGGTAAGTATACCCTTGAGAATTCCTTTTCTTCGGTAATATATGGTCCATTATGCAAATAAACATTGCACTTAACATCTATACTTATACCACTTAGGAGCCATTAGAGTAATTTCATCCTATAATGAGTCTTCAGTGAGCTCAAAGCACATATCATCTGACATTAAGGCCCAGGAAATTAACTCAACTGAAGTAGTTGGTAACTACTAACAATTGAGGAATAAAAGCTTATTCAGACTCTGTACTTTTATAAAGCTTAACATAAGGCATTACTTAGTGCAAATTATTCAGTTTTAACTAAACATTGAACACCTCAGCTGACAACTAAATACATCATTTTAAATAAGGCATAAGAATTGCTGACTAACTAAATGTCCTTCGAGTGCAAAACAGAGAAAAGCAGAGCACACAATGCTTGCACACACCCAAATCTTGTATGTCTCTGAGTACATTACAAAGTTTTTTCAACTTAAACTTTCTATGTCTACCTTAGAGATAGTAGTTAGTAATCACTTACATTAACAAGAGACTCCTTGAACTTGATGTGAAGTCTATAATTTGAAAGGGCAATGATGGCATCCTCAGCACGACCCACATACTCTGTGCTCTCTCCATGAAGTTCAAGGAAAGGAACCTTCAAAATGAAGAAACTCTTCAGAGTTCTGAAGCAATTAAGGCCAAGTCTTTAAACAAAGGTCGGGTGAATAGATAAATAGATAATAGATAAATAGATAAACTTGGATGACAGTGGTCCATTTAAAGAGGATGCACTGTCATCCAAGTTTAAAGTGCAGTACATAAGTAAAGAGGACGAGATTATACCCACCTAATTCAAATATAATTATTCAAATCCTGGACTCCTAAAGGAATGATAGAGAACATCATCTCAAATAATGAATTCTAAGAACATAAGTCTTGCTAGAATGGTTTCCAGCTTGCATTTCTATAGGTATGGCTTAAAAAAAAATATGTTTATAAGTCCATCCCTTTAATCCATTAGCTCTGCTACATCATTACTATGATGCTAAATACATATTACAATCCAAAGTGGCCTATGATTACCTGAAGATTCTCATCCTCCCGAATCAGCTGCTTCCTGGGAAAGATCTGATTGGCCTGAATGCACTCAAGACTGTGCCGAGTCTCTTCATCCTAAAAAAACCAAAAATTTTAAAATAAATAACTTCAAAAACTGCTAGTTATCTATACTTAGTTTTTCTGCCATGTCTTCTCACATAATCACAGTAAGAGCCCAATGACCAAGGCAAATAGGCAAAAAAATGCAAGAAAAAAAAATATTAATTCCCCAAACTGTTCCATCAACATATTAACTGCTACTATGGTTTGGATAAGTGTCCTCCAAAGGTCCATATGTTAAAGGGCTGGCCACCAGTCTGTGGTGCTACTGGGAGGTGGTGGTACCTTTAAAAGGTGGGGCCTAGTGAGAGGAAGTTGTGACAAAGTGGGATCTGCCATTGAAGGAGATATTGGGACTCCAGCCTTTGTGTCACCTTTGATTTTTATGTGAAATTTTCATCAATCGAATCTTGAAAGAATATTTAAGAAAAAGTAAGAACTAAATTTCCCAAATTTGAAACATGTATGAATACCAGCCCTAATTTACTCTGCCCTATATTCCCAAATAAATCTATTTCTGTTAAGGAAATTTCAAAAGAGAACAGAAACTTCTCATCTAAAATGCACTACAATTTAATTCACATTTTAAAAAGTAATGTTACAGGAAGACCCAAAAGAAATGTAATCTGTTAGAAAGCCTGACTCAAAATGATAGTGAAATCTGTTTACACAGATTTTTGAGGAGGGAGGGGAGCAGTGTTGGGAGTTGAACCCAGGACTTCATACATACATACATTTTTTTTTTAACACAACCATTTTTAAAACAGCAAAAACCACATCATGTTCAACTTATAACCACTATTTACTGAACATTTAGCACATGCTACTTATCACAATGTTACAAATCTCCTCGGGGTGGGCGGGGGGAGTATAAACAATACTTAGGATTAGAGTTGCTGTTAAATAAAACCATAAGATTACACTACTTTTATCAGTGTGGTTCTTCAAGTGAAGTCTGCAGATTCTATGAGGTCAAAACCACCTTCACAATAATATTAAGGCATTATCTGCCTTTTTCCTACTGTGTTGACACTTGTTTTAATACTGTAAAAAGAATAAGCAGGGTAAACTGAGCACCTTAGCACAATCAAGGCAGACATACCAATTTAACTAAAAATGACCTTGGAAAAGGCAGGAGAAAATTATATGAGATATTATGGTTGCTTCAAGGAAAAATATCTATGTGACTTTCAATTAACAATGAACTAGCCATTTTTTATGCACAATTTTTAATTGAAAGAATAACTAATGGACAAATTGTGGAAATTAAGACTTGGCCATATGGCAGATCTTTTTTCCAAATGACAATATATTTTTTATGCAAAAATTACAATACTGGAAAACCTGTCATCTGCCACCATGAATTTGATAGCTTTCCAATACTCAAAAATTTTGTGATAAAATCAGTGTGTGATATATCAAATATGTTTTAAAAATTCACTATATGTCAACAGTTGAAAGACCTGCATTGCATAATGAACCTATTATTTTCCTAATGACCAATGTATGATATTTTAAATCATGCATGGATAAAAGTGCAAGATAAGGGCTGGAGTTCAGGGGTAAAGTGCTTGCCTAGCACATACAATGCCCTGGTTTTGATCCCCAGAACCACACACCTGCCAAAAAATTACAAGACAGATCAAAAACAGTTAAAATAGAACAAAGAGGTTCACTTATAGTTTTAGATTCACCACTGCAACTAAATTAAGGAACTACCACTTGTCAAGTTTTGGTGTAGTATTAAAAGAAAATACATGTGATTATCTAAAACACTTCTAAAATATTCTTCGCTTTTCTACTTACTTACATATGGCTGAATTTTCCTCACATTTGAAATAAAACATATTTTAATAGATTGAATGTGAGAGTAGATATGAGAATGTGTCATCTGTTAAACCAAGCATTAAAGAGATCAGAAATATTACACAATTTTTGGATAAGAAGTTATTTTTAATTAAAAATATTTATATTGCCATGTAATTTCATACTTTTAAATGAATTTATAAGCATTTGAGAGATTTCTCAGCTTTAATTTCTATTACAGTAAACACAGCAAACATAACCCACATAAACAAGCCCTCTTGGGAGTCCTTAATAATTTATCAATGTAAAAAGAGATGCTGAGACCAAAGGGTTTCAGAGCTGCTATTCCAGACTGCACTCTAATACTAAGTAACAATTAAAGCTGTATAATTTGAAAAGCCGAACTTGTCCCAAAACTATTCTCCTATTGTTAATCCATGACAGAAAAAGCCACTCAGAATTTAACAATGACCTCAACCATCATTCTAGCAATCTTTGCTACAAACTGACTAAACCATTTTATTTTGAGACATGAGCTTTTTAAGGGCCTTTTAAAAAGATTGATATTTAAAATTTTTAAATAGCTTCAAATTATAAAATATAATTTTACAAATGGTTTATAAAATGCTATGAAAAATTATGAAACTTCCATTTAGTATTAAAAAAATTAAATATACTTTTATTATTATTATAAAAAAATTATTTCCCTAGGATTACAAGCATCCCAGGATAATTGTTAAGAAACTGTTACTGATAATCAAACAATTTTAAAAGCAAAATTATAAAAAAAAACAAACAACTTTTGTTTCTTATGTAGCCAAAATAAAAATGTTTTATGAGGGCTGGGGTTGTTGGTAACGTGCTTGCCTAGTATGTGTGAGGCACTGGGTTCCATTCTCAGCACCACATATAAAAAAATAAATGAATAAAGGTCCATCAATAACTAATAAATTTTTTTAAAAAAATAATTAAGTGATGCACTTTAATAAGGCTAATATGACAGAGCTTAGTGGTCTCGGAAAGAGTAATTACCTAAAGTGTACTAAAGTCTGTAAATGGCTCCACTCCTATAAACACCAAAATAACTTGTTAGATGAAAAATGTTGAATTATGTCCCATCTGATTCAAATGTATGATATGTCAAGGTCATTATACTGTCATGTGTAACTAATTAAAACAAATAAAAAAATAATACCAAAAAAATGTTGTGTTGATCTGTACTATATTATGCCTTTCCACTCATTTCGTTTGAAGTCAATTAATGAGTGAAAGAACAGGGGGAAGTGATTTTTTTAAAAAAGAACCCACTTTTCTACCATAAGTACTGGCTTTAAAAAAAAATCCTACTTTCATTATTAAAAGGTATCTCTTAACTTAAAGAAGGCTAAATGTTTACATTTAAAGGGAATAAAAGGAAAAGAGAGAGAATCCTGAATCAAGAAAAATGTTCTCATGAACCAACAGGGAATAGGTAGGAAATGCTATAAAAGAGGGAGAGGGGACAGCTTTTAAAAATTCTTACCTGAAAGTACACTTTAAACATACCTTCTCAGCATCACATTAACTGGCTTTTTAACTCACATAAATGTATAAGGCCTAAACTTTTACTGTCTTTAAGATCATTTTACAGAGGCACTCATTATTTCTTTATGTGATTCCTTGACGCAGTTTTCCACTGACCCTCAAAACAGCTCAGAATTGAAATAATGTAGCAGGCTTTTTAAAAAGAGAAAGAAAAGGAAAAAGGAAAAAAAGGGAAAGAGAAGCCATTTACCTATTCATTCTTGCTAGCACACTCACTTTGGTGCTAATCCAGACTAACGTACCTAACCAAAGTAGCTACTGAACACTGAAAGAAAATTGTTTTCAACATATGAGAACTGACAATTAAGCCAGCAAGACAAGAACATGAAGTACTTATTTTCAGTTAAATCAAATAAATGCTCTTTTTAAAAAATACTGCCTCAGCTCATATTACCTATAAGGCTTCAGAAAAATGTCCCCCTGGGTTGGGGTTGTAGCTCAGTGGTAGAGTACTTGCCTGGCAAGTGTGAGGCACTGAGTTCGATTCTCAGCACCACATATAAATAAATGAATAAAATAAAGCTCCATCAACCTCTAAAAAAATATTTAAAAAAAAGAAAGAAAAATGTCCCCCTTTATACAGAACTGCATTTAACCTCAAAGATTTAATTAACATTAGGACCAACTAACTGCCTAATTTTATTATAGTCTCTGTGATTTTACAGGTATAAAAGGAAACCCAACTTGACACAGTTAATAGGGAGGGAAACTGGGAAGAGGCAGAACTGGAAAGTAGTGGTGTGATAAAAAGCTGGGAACAGATTTTGCTTAGGCTATATGCACTTATTCATTAGTATTAAAGAATGCATTCCACATTGTTGATTTCCTGGTATTACTCAGGAATGCCAGGTGATGTAGAATCTGGTATTTCTTTGGCTCTACCTAGCTCTGTAAAGTTAGCAGGGTCACTTGCAAAATCCCAAAAAAGGATCAGTCAACCACAGTTTCAGGCCAGTTTCTGCTACTGGCTAAATTATGCAGGTAAGAAAGTTAAGTACATACTTCAGAGGAGAAGTCAACATTAAATATAAATATTTAAAACACATAAGAGAAGACTGCTGACCAATTAAGTCCTATGAACTAAATCTATATATATAGCGTTCATGTTCAAAAAATGTAAAAGTAATCACCGGTCTTCTTACTGTCAGTATTGTCCATACACTATTCTTGGAGCTAGTATTTATAGTCATTGAAAATATATTTCCCTTGCTATAATCCTTGAAATTTGGTCAAAACAATTCAAAGGGCTAGGAAGCACAGAGTAGGAATCAGATAAAACAAGTAGCCATAAACTGATAGTTACTGCAACTGATATGAGAGTTCACTACAAATTCTTTCCTCATATAGTCTATGCTTAAGATTTTCCATACTGAAAATAAAAATATCTTTTCATAATGCCTGGTCTCTCAAAGAGACTTAAATATCATTTTAGATCTTTTAAGATTACAAGAGGCAGGAGAGGATGTTACCTTCAGATTACTACAGAAATATACATCAAAAACAAAATTCAATGCTCCTTTCTTACACAAAACTAAGGATTAAGGACATATAATCTGAATGTTAAAATAATATGGTATATTAAATATATACCATATGAGTGGATCAAAGGCTCAATAACTTGCAACATATTATGTAGCTAGTAAAATGATCTTTAGGAATCCAGTAAATCAACATGGGAAAACGTTTAATGCATTGAATGAAATGAGCAAAAGACTTCATTATGTTATTGTAACTATATATGTAGATATATGAATGACAAGGACTACTTAGGAAAACATACAACCATAAGTTCTGGTGGTAGAATTACAAATGGGAATTTTTAAAAAATTTTATTATAATGTTTTATGTGGGGGCAGGATGCACCACGGTCAAGCTGTTCCCCAACAATCACATAGAGGTGTCTCCAGAGCGTTTCTGCAGCACAGGGGCAGGAAGTACACAAGGAAGATAGTTGGGCACCAAAGAGATCCCAGCAGCACCAAGAACAGGACCATGCTATTTGTTTCTAGCTATGTGGTATAAGATGAAGGACAAAGTCTCCATATAGAACAGATCTGCTTTCATAAGCCCATAATTTGACAAACATTAGCATTGGCATAGCATACCATATAAATACAAGGCAAACACTTTTTTCAATTCATTAAAAACTGAGACCCAGCACCACAAAAAAAAAAAAAAAAAAAAAAAAACTGAGACAGTAGCAGGGTCCATATCATACAACGGTTTTGGGGTATTGTGAGCAAGAAGAGCATCAAATGATTTACTTTCAAGGATTATTCTGGCTAGTGAATCTAGGTAGGGAATAGTTTAGACTATTGGGAATGAGAAAGAAACAATAGTAAAATAAAATGTAGTCTAGAGAATTAACAGTAAAAGTTCATCAATGTTTGGGTACAAGAAATTAGAAAGTTGTAATGCCCACAAACTAAGAAAAAAAGAGTTTACCTTTAAGAAGGGAACAATTACCTTTCTCCTCTTTTTCGTATGACATTTCTGCACAACTACCTTTTTTGTTTTGTTTTACTATGTTTTTAATTTTAAAAGCATTTTCCATACACATCCCTAATGAAGCTTGAAATTAACATGGTCTTTTCAATTCCTTTTTTGTGCACCAGCATAAAACAGTTTGGATCTAGGAAACACCATAAGGTAGAAACAGGACAATATTACAGAGAATCATTTTTCTCTTAAGATCTGAAGTGCTGTTTATATGTCCTCAAGATTAATAAAAATGTAGTTGGCTTGTTGCTCCATCTTCTCTGCCTTCCCTGGACCCTAAATGGTCCAGAAATCACTGAACTGTCCATGATATGTTCTTTTCAGTCAAAGATTCAAGCAGGGGAATGCAGATCTGCTGCCCTACTACCGAACCAAAATACTGCTTTGAAGAGACATAGATAGGCTGGGGATGTAACCCAGCGGTTGAGCACTTGCCAAGCATGTGCTAAACCCCGGGTCCAATATCTAGTACTACTGAAGGGCAAGAAAGGAGGGTCGGGGGGAAAGAGAGCAAGACTCATAGGAAATATAGGGAATTGCTTTGTGAGGTAACGCATGTTAACTAGCTCAATGTAGCCATTCCACAATATATACACACTTCAAAGAACATTGCACACAATATACATAATTTTGTCAATTAAAAAAAGTAAAGACTATTCAGATGAAAAAATCATTGTCACTATATCCTACTTCCTAGAAATTTCTTTTTCTCTCTTTTCTTTTTTCTTCTTTTGGTACTGAGGATTGGGCCCAGAGCCTTGGGCTACTATTGAGCTATACTCCAGCCCAGTTTCCTAGAAAAGGAATGAAAAACCTAGAGTCCAGGAACCATATGTTATTCTTTGGTTCCATTCACTAGCTGATTTAAAATGAGACTTAGTGTCCAGGTCACAGAATTCAAGTTAAGAGAAATGAGACTGCTCCATACACTGGAGTACCCTATCATTACTAATAATAAAAGAGAGATTCTAGGGGAAAGAAAAATGATTTCTAACAAAAACAGAAATGGGTAAGTATGGATTAGTGTTCAGCTGAATTGTAAGAATTGAGTTCAACTCCAATTTTCTTATTTCCTTATACTTACCATGACAGGAGGCCCAGATTAGGAGGAGAGATCCCCGTCCCTTCTTCGGTGTCTGGCAAAGCTCTTCTTTCTCTTATGCTGAGATCTTTTATTTAAAAGAGAGAGAGAGAAAGAGAAAAAGAGCAAAATTGGCAATAGTTTTCCCCTAATTGGTATATCCTAATTAAAGGGACTGCACATATACAAACTAAAAAACTGAACAGAATCACTCAAGAAAAAGTTGAATGTCACCCTGTCAGTTCTCACTAGTCAATTCCAAACTTGATAATGCCTTTGTAAAAATATTTCTGGACTTAACCTAGTTCTGAAAAAAAAAAGTAGCAAATGCTAACATTCTTACACTGATAGTTGTTTAAAAAAAAAAAAAAGGCTAAACCTTGGATGAAAGTAATAATTAAAATCAACCTGCAAATGAGAAAACAATATTCTTATAATTTTCAGAATGTTTGCTTCCCATAGACAGAAGATCCATACAAACATAATTAGCAAGCAAAATATGAACAACCTGTTTGTTATTCCAATATTCTATACTCACCTGTGCTAATACTTCCTATCTATCTATCTATCTATCTATCTATCTATCTATCTATCTATTTATTTTTGGAGTGACAGGGAATTGAGCCCAGACTGTTCTCTCACCAAGCTATACCATTACCCCTTTTTATTTTTTGAGATGGGGCCTTGCCAAGTTGCCCAAGCTGGCCTCAAATTTGTAATCCTGGCTCTTGGGGAGGATCTCCCGTGTACTACAGTGCCCAGCTCCTCTTACCTGTTTTATTAAGAACAAAAAAGAGAAAGGGGAAGAATACCCTACTAGAAATGCAAAGATAGGCTATTAAAGTATTATCTTAAGTTGTTTTTTTCTTTGAATAGATTAGTCTCATGTAATTCTGATTTGCTAAAGTTCAAAAAACAGAGGCTATCCTGGTTAATATTCAATATAAACCATATAAGACAGTGTAAATGACAAAACAGAGGACAGTGTAAATGACAGAACAGGGGACATCAAAGAAATAGCAGGGTCCATATCATACAACGGTTTTGGGGTATTGTGAGCAAGAAGAGCATCAAATGATTTACTTTCAAGGATTACTCTGGCTAGTGAATCTAGGTAGGGAATAGTTTAGACTATTGGGAATGAGAAAGAAACAAAGGAAGAAACAGTTGGAAGGTAACTGCAATGATCCAGCCAAGAGACAAGGTAATAGTAATGGAAATGGTGGGATGTTGCTAGATTCTGGATATACTTTGCAAGTATCATCTTCAGGATTTGAGCTCATGAATTAAATGTAAAAGAAAAGGAAGTCAATTTTTTTTTTTTTTTTGCCCCAGCAACTGAAAGCAAGGATTTACTGATGGGGAACATCCATGCAAAGACGGGAGTGAAGAAACAAAGGAGAATCATAAGTTCTATTTCAGACGTATTACATTTGAGATGCCCAAATATCCAGTTGAAAATGCCAAGTAAAGTGCTAGATAAACCAGACTAGAGATCTAAAAGATGGAAGTCGGAAATATTAATATAAATGTGGGAGACATTAGTGTGTGAACAGCATTTAAGCTGTATAAGTATAAAGAGAGGCCATGAAGATCAAGGACAGGAGCTTGATATAATCCATTGTTTAGAGAAAAGACCACAGGGTTCAGTAATAAGCCAAGTCACAGTCATCATTCTTGACATTCCTTCAAACCCACACCAAATCTTTGTGATTTGATAATGACCCAAATTGGCATAAAATTATTTCCTTTGTTCACTCCAATAAATATACTCAATACCTACTATATTCCAGGCATTGCTAGGCTTTAGAAAGACAACTGTGCATAAAAAGTCAAGAAGCGGTCTTCCTCAAGAGAAACAAACAGGATCTAATGTTAAGTAGTTAGCTGATAAATGCTACAAAGAAAACAGAGTTAAGGGTAAGAAATAACAGAATATGGTACTTGAAATAGGAAGTAAAGATGTTGTAAGAGGGAAACTGTTAGAATTAAAAAGGAGAGAGGTATTATGCACAGTGGCCTACACCTATAAACTCAGCAACTCAGGAGGTTGAGGTGGGAGGACTGCAAGTTTGAAATCAACCTCAGCAACTTAGTGAGCCATAAAAAAAACCAATGAGCCAGATGTGGTTGTGCACGCCTGTAATCCCAGCACTCGGGAGGTTAAGGCAAGAGGATCGCAAATTCAAAGCCAGCCTCAGCAAAAAAGCCAGGCACGGGGCTGGGGATGTGGCTCAAGCGGTAGCGCGCTCGCCTGGCATGCGTGCGGCCCGGGTTCGATCCTCAGCACCACATACAAAGAAAGATGTTGTGTCCGCCGAGAAATAAAAAAATAAAAAATAAAATATATATATATATAAAAAAAAAGATAACCTAAATAAAAAAAAAAAAAGCCAGGCACTAAGTAACTCAGTGAGACCCTGTCTCTAAATAAAATACAAAATAGGGCTGGGGATGTGGCTCTGTGGTCAAGTGCCCCTGAATTCAATCCCTGGTACCCCCACAAAAAATAATTATGAAATTCTATCATTTGCATTAATATGGATCAAACACAGGACATTACTTTAAGTGAAATAATTCTGACACAAAAAAAGACAAATAATGCATATTCTCACTTACACGTAGACTCTAACAAGTTGATCTCCAAGAAACAGACAATAGAATAATGGCTAACAGAGCCTAAAAGGTGAGGGAGAGAGGAGAGAGGATGGTTAACAGGTATACAGAGGTAAAACTAGATAGGAGGAGGAATAACTTCTAATGCTCTATAGCACCATATGGTAATTGTGGTCAACAACAGTTGATTATATCAAAATAAAGGATTTAGAACACACAAAGTTCCCCCCCACAAAGAAATGATTAATGTCTGAGGTGATAAATGTCAATAATAAGTCTGATCTGATCATTACATATTGCATACATGTACTGAAATATCACACTGTGCAGACTATACTCCATAAATATGTTCAATTACTATGTGTCAATTTAAAAATACATACGTTGAGACTGTTATAGAGAAACATTTTAAAGAATTGAAGTTCTGGACATCACAAAACCAAATTTATTGTTTATACAATAAACACCAATGTGCACTCTGTGTCTGTGTGTGTGTGTGTGTCGAGGGGGGGGGGTAATATAGATTGAACCCAGGCTAAGCAAGCACTCTATCATTAGGCTACATCCCTAGCCCCACCTACCCACCCACCCCCCTTTTAATTTTTATTATGAGACATGGTCTTGCTATGTTGCCTAAGCTAACCTAGAACTTGCAATCCTCCTGCCTCTACTTCCCAAGTGGCTGGGACTACAGGCTTGCACCACAACACCCAGCACATTTAGTGTCCTTTAAGGTTTATTTTCTTCCCCAGAAAAAAATGCACAGAAAACTCATACAGGCATCACAGAGTAAGATGACCAGCTGAACTGTACTCATCTAGTGACAATTCACTAAAATTAAAATTCCAATTACAAAGTAAATTGTTGTAAGAATTGTAATGCATTCTTCTGTCATATATAAATAAAATAAAAAAGTAAACTGCTGATCAGCAGTTACATCATATACACATATGCTAACTTTACAGTTAAGGCTAAATTTTTAGTAAGCATGGAAATAATCACAATGAAGATCTGCCACTTAGCATTAAAAGACTAAATCAATTTAAAAAGTCTTCATCCAGAAGTGATGCCTTTGATTTCTGTACCAAATAAAGACTTTGAAAACAGCGTACTACACTGCAGGCAGTCAAAAATTACCCAAGAACCTATGTCAGATAGTTTGATATGTACTGGTTCTTACACTAATGCAGTTTTTGTTCCAATGACAGACAGAGAGAGATAATAATTACAAAGTGTGTTAAATGTGATGAAGGAAACAATTAGGATGCTGAGACAGAGAATGAATAAGAAGATCCAAGAGACTACATCAGAAAAGCTTGCTTGGATGTGGGGGGGTCAAACTTCTGGTATAGATAACGGCACAGTATTCCAGAAAGACTGACATATTTAAAGAACTAAAAGGAAGAAATCATTCTAGCTAAAATATATTGAATCAGAGTGAAAGTAGCCCAATTTAAAGTTGAAATGTATAAGGAAAAGATCATGTAAAGATTATATTCCAAGCACAACAGGATACCATTTACAGTTTTAAACAGAAGAGTGACATGAAGATCATGCTGACTATTGTGTGGTGAATGGATTAAAAGACGGAAAGAATAAAGAAGACAATCGGGAACAATTACTGGAAGAGGATGGTGTTTTGATTTAGAAGAGTGGAAGTACAGACAGAAGAAAGACAAAGATCTGAAAGGTATTTTGGAGTATAAAAACATAACAAAGGTAAAAACATGGATGTAGGAGTTAAGGGAGAGTGGAGAATTTACAATTCAAGAAAGAAAATAAGTAGATAAGGTAAAATCAGAAAATCGGAAGTGCTGCTTTAAGAATTTGAGAAAAATTTAAAATTGCCATAGGAATTCCAAATTCACAAGTAAAAGCCAAGATCATGGGTAAGTCTGCAACCAATCTGAATTAAGAAGTTTTTAAAGGTTCCTTTTAAAACTACAAAGAACAGTCATGAACAATCCTTAGGAAATATTCAAGGGTCATTGCAACACCTCACTTGCATAACTTGGGCCGCATTGTGGTAGTTATACTTTCACCACAAAAGAAAGAAGTTGAATCATTACTGTTAGTCTGATAAACAATTAAGACATGTGAATTTGCTTAGGTCTAATAGTAATGGATGGTCCATGTAAGAAATTTTAAAAATAGCTATAAAAGGTAAACAAATACCCTCTTATGATGCTGGTGGGAATATAAAATGGTACAGCCTCTTTGGAAAATAGCCTCATATTTCCTCAAACAATAAAACAGATTTACCAATTGACCCAGCAATAGCATTCCTAGTATTTATCTGAGAAAACAAAAAAGTATGAACACATAAGAACTTATACATACATGTTCTCAGCAACATTACCGAAATAACCAAAAGGTGGAAACTATTTGTTCAACTATATGAACATTTGGATTAACAAAATGGTATCCAAACAATGGATTATTGTTCAGTCTTAGAAAGGAATGAAATATTGA